TTTCCAGTTGAACCATCACCAAACGCTGCTAACAGAAAGTAAAAGTCCTTATTTAATGTTTGTCTTATTGATATCATCATGTCTTTTGGTTACCCATGAATTTAAGTTTAGGATTGCTGATGAGAAGTTGTTTGCCATGACTGGGCAGTGGCTCCTATATGAAGTCCCAGGAATTACTGCTGTACTTTGGGAAAAGCTGCTGCCCAGTTTTTTTAAGTATCTGACCTCTGCACAAACCACTGGCTTTTCATTCCAGCTGGATTCTTGTTGGTGGAGGAATTAGTGTCTGTACAATAGTGCAGATTTGTTATTTTGCCTCTGAGAATGTCAGTGACATATTTGTTCAGTCACTGCAGGTGCTGTGCAGCAGGTTCCCCCAAAATTTGGAACTTCCTTGGGGGTACTGACTTGCACAGTGACTATGTACTAACCTGACTGTGCAGGAGGCAGCTTTCCATAGTGTGTCTGGACTGAATCACTTCACACCTTGCATGATATTCCCCTGTGCTTGTCAAGCAAGGATTGCTGCTTACAGGACTTGAAAACTGCTATGAAACAGTCTTCTCTCACTTATTCACAACTCTCCCATGTTGGATATGCCTTTTACCAGCTCTGTTGCAGTTTGACCAGTTTTTAGCTTTTGAAGGTATCTGCAAATATTTAGGTGAAACTTGCCAAAGTAAGAGCTAAAATCCCTGCAGCCATTCATGCCAAGTGTACTCAAACATCACCACATGGTTCCCCCACAGGGGCACTGGGCATGTACTAACAAGCATGTGGCTAAACCAACAGCATTGTGCATCATGCATCATCCCTACAGCAGGATTGCTTGTGCTTGTGCTTGAACTCAGAGCAACTGCAAACCCCACAGATATGCTGTGTCTGAACAAGGAATGCATTTAGAAGCGATGAAGGAGTCAAATTAAGAGCTGCTGAGAAAAGCTGAAAGACTGGAAACGGGTTGTCTGTGAAAAGACCTCTGAGGTGAGATGTAAAAGAGTAGGAAAATCAGTTCCAAGAGAAAGGGAAAAGGAAAAAAGCTGTGGGGCAAAGGTGGAATTGAGATTGGCTGGCAAAGAAACTGATAAGTGTGTGAAAGAGCATTGTACAAGATTTCGATTAATCTCAGTGTCACTTAAGGTCTAAAGTGCCTTAAACTGAAGCACTTACAGGTCAATGCCTTTGCCAGCAAGGTCTTTGCTCCCTATAAAACAGAACAATAGGAACTTATCACATCTCACTAATATCATACAGTTAATGATTTTAAAAAGCATCACAGCAAGGTTAAAAAAATACAGAAAACTCAGTAAAGTTAACAGTTCAGTACTTTTATCAGGTAAAACTTCATAGTGTGCATCTGATAAAGCAATGGCCCACATCCCTTGAAGTGGGTGAAATGATTTTACTGCAGTCTTTTATCCATTGATTCACTCGTGTTGTTCATTGAATTGAGTAGAGGCTCTCTCACAAAAGTGACAGGTTGTCCATCATTATATCAGAACACCTACATAGACCTGGCTCTAATCGATGTGAGGGAACCAATCTTAATTATTCATTTCAAATAAGCAATGAAGTTTTTGTTTCGTGTTGTTTTTAATCTATTTAAGTCAAGGTGGATATGAATTTTGGTAAAAAGCTATGGTGCGCGTACTTCAGCTGTTACTGTGTCAGAAGAGAGATACAGAAAGAAAGTAGGTATCTGAGCAGTCGAGTGGCAAACCTTATTTTACTGAGTGACTACTGCCACCAGGTGGCTTGTTACAGTCATTGACTGAAAACTGTAAACTACGTTTTGCCTCTCGGTAAGCAAGTATTTTTGTATAAATGCGTTTCCAAGTCTGAATTTTTATGTGTGACATAAAAAGCCCCCAAAATTAATGAAAGTAGAAGGGGCTGACTAATCAAGAGGAATAAGAACAAAAAAAAAAGCATTCATGAAAGGGATATTTCTGGACATCAGGGGAACACATTTATCTAGCTAAGACAGTTGGTAAAACAGGTAAGTATGAAACAGTGCCAAAGCTCAAGTGAAAAGAACTGATTAATTATGGAGAAAAATATCTCATCCTATATTGTGACTTTATCATAATTTATTTTCTTTTAGATGGTCAGGATTGTTTCAATGATTCAACAGTCCCCTCACTTTGGAGGGAAAAAACACCATCGTATACAAATTGATTTGGTAGGAAGAATTCTTCCTATCTAAGATAACATTATTGTTATTAATTCCTAATACATATTTAGCTAAGACAATAATAATGAAAAGCTTGAAATATTCTGAAACCTAGCCTCATAAGTGTAAGATATGCAAGATGGAGGTGAATAAATGTGGGTGCCAGGACTGTTATCTTCAGAGGAAGACTAGTATCCAGCATGTATTCAGCAAAACCCAAATGCACCTTTTCAAACACATATCAGTATTTCAAAATAAATAACACCAGTAACAAAAAATGCTCAGATCCAAGTTATCCATCATCAAAACAGTCTGATAGGGATGCAGCCTTTTTGCACATCACTTGATTTGAACTCAAGTGATGTTTTATGGTGATATCCTTTCCAGTAACAAGGAGCCCAGTGCACACATATGTGAAACTTGACCAAGGTCTGACCTTCTAAAATACCACAGTAAAATACCAGAGTTTTGCTGTATAATTAGCTTAATACCTAAGTGGAAAGTTGATTACAAGGAACCACATAGTAACATGGGTTCTCTTCAGATCTAGCTTCAATGGCTTATTGTTTTCCATATTGCTTTGGGCTTAAAAAATAAATATTGCACTGCCCAGTAGTTAATTTCCAAAATTATATGTATTTTACTTGTTTCCTCAGTTCTTAAGCAACAGAAATTCCCCTTCATATACTTGGCATAAAGTCTCCTTTATGAAATTGCCATTGCTTTCAAAATTATGAGCTTTCACTTACTTTCTTAGGGCCCTGTTAACAAACTATGCAAAAAAAAGTCATCAACATCTTTTCATGTTGGATGTTGTGTTGCTGATTTGCCACTTGACATCATCATCCCCTGACATAGGTCAGTTGTAGGTTACGTATCTTTATCTCTCTTCAGGCCCGCAAGAAGATTCAAAACCAACCCCCAGCCCTCTGTCTGTAACTCATTTGGTTAAGCTAGGGACCTCTGCTTTGCAATAAATACAGAATTATTATGAACACACAATTGCAGCACACTGTACAGGGAAAGTGCAACTCTGGACTTTTTTGTAGTTTGTATATCCTAATGCATTTTATTTCCTTGATATACATATTGGATACGACACTTAACAAATTAACTTGCAGTACCCTTTCATAGAAACATTTTCATTAAGGCTGTAGAACTGTTGATTTTATTTTCTTTTTTTAAGGAGACTGGTATGTTTGAAAAGAGCCCTTCCAGACACACTAATGATTGTCTGTGGAGAAGGAGTATGAGTACTTGTACTCAGTAGTTAAAGAGTAATTTTTTTTCTGGTTCTGTTGCTTCACAGCTCTTTGGCAATAGCTAATACCTTCTGAAGTAAGAGAAGCTATACAATGAGAAACAAAACAGTGTTCCCTCCCTTACCCACTTTACGTTTCACAGATAAATTATTTTTTTTTCTTAAAATCTGATTGCCATTTCTAACATAACTATAGCTTGCATTTTCATCCTTGTGGGTCCTAATGAGGAAATTACTTCCATATATATATTTATTACAATTTTTCAGACATGTACACCCCATTTTGTCAATGAGCCAAGACCCCAAAATAAGATCTTAAAAACATTTGTGTATTAATTGCACTGTAATCTGTGAAAGTTATGAACCTAAATATTGCCAAGAATATTGGTCCCTCTGGTCACCAGTTTTCTTACTCTAGATGTATTTATGTTATTATTTCTATTCCTAATGATGTATCTGCAAGGAAAGCTGTTTTTAATTAGCATAAATTAGTTAGAAACACACAAGCTCTTAGCAAAGCACATATGTACTTAGGCCTACAATTTTATTGAACTCTTTCATATAAGGGAACTTTATGAAGGCAGTTGTAAATAGAATTATTTTTTTCCCCAGCCAGGGGGAAATATCCATATTTAACTTTAAGCTATTGCTTATGTATTATGTTTCTTCAGTTGCCATAATACAAGTAAAACAGTCAAATCATTTATTCAATTAGGCAAAGTAATCAATTAAATATATCTTGTAAGATTTCACATTAAATATGTCTTATAATGTGTTATTACAGGATACCTGTAAGGTCAATGCTGCTTTTATAGAAACTGAGAAAACAATAGAACACTAACAGAGCATTTCTATCTGCTATATTTTAGTAGATAGAATTTTTTTTGGAAAATATTACTAATTTAAGGTCACTAGTTTTAAGGTCACTAGAACTTCTCAGAACTACTAATAAATAACTGAATTACTGGAAGCCTCCAATCAAGATGCTTGTTAACACAAGCACAATATTTCTATGCTTTGGAAGGGCAAAATTCCCGCTACATTTTTATTAAGTAACTGTCTTTTGTGCCACTTTGTGAGCAATTGAGGACTTTGATTAAAACAAAGCAGAAGTCAGAGAAGCCTGTGTAAGCAGCTGCAGTTTCTGCCGGCAAAGCCCCAGTTACAGCCGGTATTTATTTGCTTTCTTGATAAGAAAAACCTGATTTTGCAAGCCTGTATATGGGAGCACCTCTCGTCACATGAATAGCACCGCAAATGAGCTCTGCAAGCTTTGTCAAGGACAACCCCCCAGTAAAGCCCATGGGGCAAGACTGCAGTTGCAAAATCAGGCCGGCCACCCAGACCCCCAGCATCTGGAGGCTGCAAAGAAATCAGGAGCCCTGCCGCGTTTCCCAAGGCGCTGGTTCCGGATGTTCACAGCGGGCAGCACTTGGGGCGAGCACACGGAGCGTTCGCGGCTCTCCGGGCGCACCCGCGGCCCCGCCCGGGCCCCGCCCGCGCCCCCGCGGGCCCCTCCCCGCCCACAGCGCGGGCTGAAAAGGTGCCGCTGCCTCGGGGAGAGGCTCGCAGGGGGTCGGCTGGCCTATCTGCACTTTCCCCCTGTCCGCCCCCGTGGGAGCAGTGCCGGAGGAGAGTGGGGCTCCCTGGAGCGAAGGCTGTCGGGGCTGGCGAGCTGCTGTAGCGCCGGAGCGCTTTGGTTACACTGACGCCTGTGAGTGCTCAAAGTGTGGATACCGCAGCCTTTTTGAAAAGTGTATTTGCTTAATAGGATACCTGCAGGAGGTATGAAGCGAAGTAAAATCCAGTGAAGCTTTTAAAGCACCTTGTAGCTGCTGCTTTCCATGCAAGCATTTCTGAATTGCTTTAGAGAAAACTCCTAAGCCTGTGTGCCTTAATGAATAAAGGTGGCTTATCTTATCTGGAAGCCACACCAAATATATTCTTCTTGCATCTTGTTTGCTTCTTAATGTTATGTGAATATTACTTTCTTATTTTATTTCTTTACTTACATACATAGGAGATGGCTGTATGATAACTGTGACAGTAAGTGTGCTGATGCTGTAGTTGAATTTACTTGTTGGGATAACAAACTGTGTCATTTTTAGGTCATACTCCAACTTTGGGTTCTTCATATAGATAAAAGTTTGCAAGGGGCCTTAAAAATAGTATACAGAGAAACTGCCCAACTAAAATAATGAGAGTAAACAACTGAAAAGGGCAAAATCCTTGCCTTTTATTCATTCTTGCTGAGATATATGGAAAAAAGGTGAACTTACCATATTTCTTTGTAAGATTGTTTATTACTCTTCTAGTAGAAAGTGTCTCTTTGACTGAAAGTAAATGTAGAATGAACTTTAAAATCATGCTGCAAATTTGTATCAACTAATATTTTGAGGAAGAAGGTATCAAAAGTTTGTAGGTTTTTCTCCCCTTAACTGCACCAGAATATAATGAATTATTTAATGTGAAACTCTTTGAGGTCTGTGGAAGTACGTTTGACAAAGCAAATGATCTACAGGGTTGGTGCTTAATTACAATTTCATACGTTTCAGCTAAAGTGTACTGTCTTAAGGGCTCAGCTTGGAAAGCTCTATAAAATGTGTGCCTGGAGTAAAAACACTCTTAGAAGTTATCTTTCTTTTTGTGTGTGCATATTGTTTCTTCTTTCAGACAAGCTTCTTGGATACCATAAAAGTTCATACTGTTAGATGCAAGCCAAATAGATTATAATGCAATAGAAGTTGTTCTACTATAAGTAGAGAGCCAATGGCAATTTTACTCAGACTTGGTCACTGTAGCAGAAGGACTGACTGTAAGGTAAGTACCTACACTCAAACTGTTACAAAAAAGTAATTTTGAAGGACAGAATGCTTGAAGTTCTCTTTTAATATTTCCTGAGTAGAAGGGACAGAATGCTGAGGTGTGTGTATTTTGTCATTATGTGGGCGTGAATGTGTTTTTGTATTTTAAAAGTAATGAGTTATAAGGAATGTGAACACTGCTTGTTTTCTGCCCTTGCTCAGCCCAGCTGTTGTGTTGACTTCTGCTTAGTTAAACTCTTTTTATGAACTCGGAGAGAGGGTGACTCTTGGACAGCGAGTCTGTCTGCTTTTGCCTTGTAACAGTATATTTCTAAAGAGACATGTCACTGGCCCCTTAATATAGCTTATTCTCCTTCAGATGACTTTTTCCTTTTTGCTTTCCCTCTTGTCTGATGGTGCTCAGAAGAAAAGTTCTGGCTGTGATATTTTTTGTACCTTCAAATTGTCAGTATGTTTGCCTTGCCTACCCTTTCATCTCTTCCTCTCAGAAGCTGGTTTTAGATTTCACACTCTGCAGCTAATGAAGTAAAAGAGCTGAAAGAAGATAACTTCTGTGAAGAGTCCTGAGTGTGAGTATTGTACTCATGAGCCATTAGGCTACCAGGCTTTCTTAGCTGTTGGTAGCTGCAGGGACTGTAGGAGTTGTTTTGAACACAGGAAGGGAGTAACTTATGCTCTCCATTTATCAAAATCCAGGTACTCTAAGATGGTGAGATATAATCAGGAGAATAAGCTTCTATGTATACTAAATATTGTGAAATGATTCCCACTTAATTTTGGTATGGAAGAAGATGGCTATTGCCCTATGGTTTTGGCTTTCTATTAATTAGAGGGCTGTATTATAAATAGCTTCAAGTACGTAATTGTCTCCCTCTCTCTGCCCCAAGAGTGACATGATATTTGAAACACCATTGCAATCACAAGTAATTATGAAGTTTCTTTGAAAAAACTTGTTCTGAAGCTTTCTTTCCTGCTGGGGGGGATGGGTTACGTAGTACACTGAAGATTTAAGAAGGGAGGATGAGGAAAGGAATAACACATTTGCAGTCATGCTTCAAACTAATGAGTATTGAAGTATTTCTTTTTCCATTCTAAATAAAGGTATGAAACAGTGCTCTCTCTTATACTGTAATGGTGTGGTATGTGCTAGTACCTGTAGAGAGAAAACTCCTGGATCTTGTGCTGTCTTTGGTCGCATAGAACATACTGAAAAATCTGTGTATGGTACAAACTAAGTAAAATCAACAGTCAGTGGTACGTGACTGTGTTCTGACTACAGAGCTAATATGCTCTGTAGCACACATTTGAAACCTTGACTGGGGCATTTACTGATGCTACCACAGGGTGTGCAGCTGGCATGCAGGCAGGACAGAGGAACCGAATTATATGTGCTCTAAGGATCTTGGTTAATATGAGCATTTCAGTGTAAGGCATTTATCTTGGAAAACAAGTCCCTGGATAGTGCACAAATCCTTCAACTCCCTGTTCTTCCAGACTGTTTGAATGATAGTAAGTTAACAAGAAGTACTAGAGAATGGCCAGTTGAAAAATGCTGCATTTAGGTTTTGATTTTTAACCTTTTCATGCTTCAGTCCTAAAGTCAGTTATTCCTATTCCTCTTTAGTACAGGGAGCTTTGCAGTCTGCTAATTCCTATTAGCTCTCATGAATTAGTTGTTTCAAAGGCTTATAAATAAGCCATTATGGTCAAAGCTTCTTAATACTTGCAAGCCGATTCTGTCAAGATGGGCAAATCTAAAATTTATGGTAAATTACAATGAAAGTGGAGAGTATTTTCAAATACTGTAGGTAACAGCCAGCTGTTTGACAGCTTACCCACCCCAAAACTTGAGTTAATGTAGATTCTCATTTTAAATCTACACATGGTGATTTTGACTCAGTTTTTTATGTCCTTGTCTAGTGAAGATGATCTTGCAGGGATCTGCTGATTCATCTTTATTAGAATGCAATTTAACTGTTTTCTTTTTTTAAAATTTAGACATGTTTCTAAAAAGAGTAGAATGGTAGAAGGAATTAGTTCTGTAAGACATGATAGCTTTTATCAGTCACTCAGGTCCTTTTTGTTACAGTTGTAGAGTTGTTTCTACTTTAATCTTTAAAAGGGATTTGTTCTTTTGTGGTAAGGTTAAGAATGATTCACATATCACACTTCTGCTTTCCTAAACCTAACCTCTCTGTAAGAACTCCTTTCCATGCCATTAATCCTAATGCTTTTTGTTCAGAGTTGTACTTATGTATGTAGTTGTGAGATCTAGTTGTCTTCATCTGTTTTTCCTGCAAAGGATAATAGCAGGAAAAAAGTTAAATATTCGGCAGTTCATTGTGTTTGCTTATTACAAACCTTGATTGCTTTCAGGTTTTGGTCTTTTTTTAAATTCTATTAATCTTTGCTTAATCTTTCTCATCTGCCAGCTTTTGAGTAAGTTGAGTCTGCCAAAGAATATTTCTTGTTTCATTTTAAATCTCTACCACATCCTTTGCTACTTAAAGCAGAATTCTAGCCTACTATTTTTCTTGTCTCTGCAGTATGCGGCCTTATCTCTTCTTACAGAAACTTTGTTTTGAAGATTTCTCTGGTACATATAATTGTACTGAACCTTAGTTTTTAGATTTCTCTATGGTTTTTTAACTTGTGAGTAAAATCGCTTTGATGTAAACTTGTGACAGTTTGCAGAGTATTGGAACTAGAAGTAGAAGTTAAAGATATGATCATAATGTTATCTTGAATATTTGGGAGGAGGAGTTGAGTGTTGTGTTTTTATTTTCTGGTTTCTGAAACCTAATTGTTCAAACCTTTCCTGCCTCTGACTTTCTTCTATTTACTAGTTTAAAGTTGTTGAGGAGCTCTTATGTTGAAGTACAAATGTAGCATTGTCTTGGATATTGTGGATTTTTAGCACTGAATGTATGAGAACTTTGGAAGAGTGGATGACTCTTATTGGTAAGAATCATGACTTGCCTTGTCTTCATTTGGCTGCTTTTTAGGTCTCTAGAGTTCAGACCGAAATGGCTCCCTGTGTTTCCTATCTTCAGGTCCACGTGTGCTGTCAGGGAACTGCATAACCTGATACTTCTTATCGCTTGGCGCAAAATGGGCACAGCTCTTCCAGAAGGCAAACGTTCTGTGTCCATGTTTTGCTAGATACCCCTTTCTTGTGCCTAAGGATTGAAAGGAAGTTCATCTCTGCTCTCCTGGCCCTTTGGACATGGAAATGCTTTCTTTTGTTGGTTAAGGTGTTCTGTAAAACCACAGTAACTGTAAATCTGTAAACCCTGCGTGTAACTGAGTAACAAAACAATTGCCACAGCTTTTATGAAAACAGTATTGTGACTGAGCAAAACATTGTGATGAAAGCTGGGATCAGGGGTTCAGCTAAGTGTGTTAGGATCTGTGGTCCTACTACTCCACATGTTTTTCATGCATACTGTTCCCTTAACAAGAGTGTGACAAGCAATGATACTGTTTGACTAATTGTCTGGAGGTCCAATATCCAAAAGGAAGAGTTCAAAGGAAAAGTCTTGTGCTTGTCTGCAATAAACATACACATTTCTTTGTTGAAATCTTCATACCAGTTTCTCAGTCTTGCATATATAAAACTTATTTCTGACACTTGGCAACTTTAGTTTCTCTGCAGAAAGAAGAACTTGTTACTGGGGAATTATTTGTCATATGTGAAGAAATAGACACGGGTTGTGGAAAAAGGCAACCTTTAATGATGCAAAATTGGAGCTATGATTAATAAAAGAGTGGTTTTCATACTAACTGTATAGTTCCTCAATACTTTTGAGCTTTATGTATCTGTGAAACAAGTTTTAAGATCCATTTGTCCTGTGCAGATGTTTAAGAGATTTGACTTTTCTTTTTTTTTTTGAGAAAGAATAGGAGAGGGATAGGCAAAAGACACTTTAAAAGTGGTGTCAAAATGCACAGAGGGAAATAATCCATCCAGTGGATGGAGGGATCCTTCTACACCTGTACTCTTGATGGCCTGAAAAATGGTATCAGAGCATTCTTGCAAAGTCTGGCAGTTATCAGAAGCAGAAGTTATTCAGCAGCTGGAAATGGTGCCTTCTCACAAATGCTTTTTTTTTCAAATTTTTTTTATTTTTGTATTCAACTGACTTCCAGAGATGAGCTGTGACCTGTAATATAAATACTTATTGTATTTAACTGCCTGTAAATCTTATTTTATATAGATGGAGCTACCTGGTCTTGCTGTTTGGATGTTTGTTTGCTTCTGTGCACCTGTGGGTGGCTATCCAAATGGAAAAGTAAGAGCAGCCTGCACTAGCATGGTACCCTGTCATGGTGGCTCTCCACAACTGTCACCTGAGCACACCATCACAGTGAACGGGACTGAATTTAAACCAGGGGACAGCATAGAAGGTCAGTTTTAGCTGAAGAGTTTGATTTACTGTTTCTTTGTGTTGTAGATGTCTTTACTCAGTTAGCTATACTAGATTTATCTAAGCAATTGAATGTTCTTTAGATGATCCATTAACCATCACTCAGTACTTGTACAATGAGCATCTGGCAGTTATTGTTGGAATGTTTCCTTCTTCCTTTGGAGAACATTTCGACTTACTTTTATTTTTCTTCTTGCATCAGTTAGTCTGTCTGGACCAGATTTTGAAGGATTTTTCATACAAGCCCGGGATGCAGAACACCTGGATGGCCCTGCAGTTGGTTCTTTCGTGTTAGTTGACCGGAGACTTTCTCAGCTTCTGACATGTGGACATACCAAGGTATAGTCTAGTGACCTAAAATGAGGCATGAGGCACTGAGGTGTTTGTGTTAGACTATGTGATAGGACAGAGCTAAGCTACATAACTTTATTTGAGCTTAGTAAGTCTCTCAGGAAATTTGTCCAGCTTGGAGTATAGAAGCAGACTCACTGCAACTTTTTGGACTATTTTTTCTATCATAATTTTTATTTGTGCATAATGAATGTAGTGTGTTCCTAATATTAAAAGGAGGAGGGCATGGTCTGTTTTGCTTTTTCATACTTGTTAAGGACAGAGAAAATGTCTTAGAGCAAGGAAAGTTTAGGGCCATTATTGTGGTAAACAAACACTATTTCATAGGGTAGTTTAGGTTGGATGGGGACCAACCCCCTGCTGTGGGCAGGGGCACCTTCCACTATTCCAAATTGCTGAGAACCCCATCCAACCTGGCCAAACACTAGGCTATTATCTTTAGTGTTGCTCTGTCATTTACTGGTTAGTGGAGCCTTCTTAGTAACAGGTTAGATCTGTTTTAGATAAATGGATTTGTTGCATGTGCAAGAGAGATGAACTCTGACTAGTGTTTCAGCAACATGTGTGAAATTCATGGACGTGGACACGTACGGTGTCATCTGAGCTGGTGTGGACAAAGTTCTTAATCTGCCTAGATGTACTTTTTTCTGTCCACTTCTATCACCTGTCCCCCACTGACACTCAATGTATTCATCAGTGCTGTAAAGCCATGGGTATATCTGGATGGTGCCCTCTGTGCTCAGAGGACTTAGTGCTGTGTCTGATCTGTTTATTTTGTCTAAAAAATGATCTGATCCGAAGACTACTTCCAGGTTTTGTTCTCTGGAGTATTAGTTCTGTTCTCTCTGTAGTCACTGCACTGTCTCTTCATCCTCTTACTGTCAAAAAAAGGATCATAATTTTGCTATCAAAACCCCACCATTTTTCCATAAGTGCTGCAGCAGCCTTTGTCTCATTGCTGGGGTCTTCTGGGTTGAAAGTTGTTCCTTTTAGCCTTGAAGTCTGTTAGTGTATGTAAGTTGCAGTGGTGCACTTCATCTGAGTTGATCATGACTGACGGGGGAAAACCAGTTGGAAAACCAGCTGGGGTTGTGCAGTGTAACAGTGCAGTGTCTCTTTAGGATTTAGCTGCAATCTGTGCTGACTGTGTTAATTAGCAACTCTTTAGTGCATATCCACTGTGTAACTCTTGACATGTGTGTGTTTTCAGAATTCAGCTGTCAGTCAGACAAGTAAAACAAAAAAGAAACACATGAAAGTTTATTGGATTGCTCCTGGAGATGCACCAAAACATGTACAGTTTCTGTAAGTAAATCTAGTGCCAGTTCTAGTTTATTAAAATGCAAACAAGGTAAAACTGTACCATTGTCTGTCATATATTGGCCAGCAACTGAAAAGTACCCTTGGACCAATGGCCTGAAAAGTCAACATCCCTTGCTTGCTGCAGAGCCTGCATTAATACAGATACTTGTTCTTTAGGGAGAGCTTGCAGGTGATTACTTTGATTTTTTGCAGGGAGAGTAGAAGGGAATTTGGAGGCTGACTTCTTGAGTATTTCTAGATAACTTCTCACTTCTTATGCTTGTAATGTACAGTGTTAAGAATCTTCTTTCTTTGTTTGTACCTAACCAAATTATTTGTATACCCCTCTGTTACACTACTAGCTTTTTGTGAACTACAACAAATGCAATGCAACTCTGAAGTTGTAATTTATGCCATGGGCATGAATGTTTCTTATATCCACTGCAGCATGCAGTATTATGTTTTAAAATTCTTTTTCTACTGACATTTAAGATATTTTCCTACTTCAATCCCTAAAACGGTAGAGGTCTCCATAAAGATGAGGGTTTTACAAATAAGTTGTATGAACTGTAGAAGCTTTTCCTTTTTAAAGTAGCAACTGGCTGTTGATGTATACAGTAATGACTCTGAGTGTTGTGTTTAAGAGCCACAGTTGTCAAGAAATACAGGACTTTCTGGGTGAAGATTCCGGGTCCCATTGTTTCTCAGCCTGATATGCTGTCCCCAACAACACCTTTGCATGCAACTTCAGAGGCTGTGTCAACTTCATACCCAGTTTCCTACTTATCAAAGCCAGTAAGTAATGATAAATCTATCTTTAATGCTTATGATTAATGGAATCTAACATGATTACATTGATACAGACTCTTGACAGAAAAGGAGAGATGAGTAACTTTGATATCTCAGACTAAGAATGTAACCAGCTACCCTCTTGTGTTAGTTGAGTAGCCTGAACTTCTGAGGATTAAATGTTCTCATGCTGCACACAGGTCAAAAGGCAGATAGAATATTTAGAACTTAATGATAAGAAAATGTTATGCATAACTGTGAAGAGAGATGGGAAAGACTTGCTCTGGTCTTGACCAACAGTTTCCTATTTAGCAACTGCAGGCTCAGAAACCTTCTTCCTTGGAATTCATCTGTGTTACTGACTTCTATTACTGAGTTTTTGAATGGATTGAGCAAGCATCACTGTTTGATCCAGGATAACTGTGACTTTTAATCCATGTATTTTTTTCAGTGTGTATCAATGGAGTTTATACTTTGAAAAGGAAACACAAAGCTTCCTCATCCTACAGCTGATATTACCTCTCTAAATATTAAATTAAAAGAAATTTCTCTGAAATTTTTACTATCTTTTCAAAGTTATTCTATTGTAATGTCTTTAAGGGAGAAGTTCAGCTTGAGTAAAAGCACAGTTGGAATTCACCATCATTTTACTTGTCTTAGGGCACTTGTAGACATGGGTTAAGAGATTGGTGTGTAGACACAGATGTCACTTTTTTGTTGTTCCTTGTATGCTTTTCCTTGTATGCTTTTTCTAGAATGGGTAAAAAGGGAGGGAGAGGAGGAAAACTCTCATTGTTTGATTTCTTGGTTTCCTTAATTGTCTAGTTTAGTGCCTCAGGCTGTGGAAGTATGAAGTTCTGCATTAGGAACCCTTCAAACTGTGATCCTGAAAGTGCTTCCTGTTTTTTTCTATCCTTCCAAAAAGAGGAGAGTTCAGTATTTATTGAAATGAGTGGTCCAAGTGAAGGCTATTTAGCATTTGCGTTGTCCCATGACCAGTGGATGGTGAGTTTCTATTTTATTTCCATAGTTGCTTTTGTGAATTTCGTGAAGTTTGAATGGTTCTCTACTAAAACATGCATATGGAAAATGGAAATAATGTTACATGTCAGATGAAGTGTGACTCTCCCATAGTGCTAAAACAGAAGTTGCCTTTTATAGTGGATATTCAGTTTTAGCTCAGGACTGACTAATTACAGTAGAATTTCCCTATGGATATCTGCTATGGCAGAATCCAGCCTGTCTGACTGAAATTCCTGGTTAAATCAATCTTTCTTTGTTACCTAGCCAAAAAACCCTCACCTGTTAGAAGCTGAGTTGTTATTCTGAAAACCATTTCATTTTGATGGTTGTTTGTGTAGAAATAACTCCATTCAATCTTAAAAAAATATTTAAAGGTCCTTTTTTGAATTGATGTTAAGGGGAAGGGATGATGCTGTTGACAAATGCATAATCCATAAACTACTTGTTACACAAAGGAGATGGTGTTTATATTCATATCCCTAGTGCAGGAACACTTGGTTCTTAACAACACTGTCTTTACAACTGTGAAGAAAACCATCATGTAACTGAAGTGGATTTTTAAATAACATCAACATCCATCTCTGTCTTGTCTAGTTAATTCAGTAAATTCTAAATAATTAAAGAAACTTCTGACAATATGTCTGTTAGTTTGGAAGGGAGGGATGTGCAAATTATAATGTGTGTTTCTATGTCATCTGTTTTACTTGATGTGGTTCCTCTGTAATAATGCTGATGTATTTGAAAGATGGGAAACAATAGCTTGATAACTACAGAAATCTGTCTGAGGTCTTGCTGTGCCTGTATTAAATCAAAGAGCTTTTGGAGACTGCCAGTAGTGTTTTTTATTTGGCTCTATGTATTTTTCTTTTATACTCTTCAGGGTGGTGATGATGCATATCTGTGCATTAATGAGGACCACCGTGTTCATGTGAGCACTACCCATCTGACGGGACGAAGTCGTCCTCTCTTGGATTCAGAGGTACATTTGAAAACAACTAAGACCCTTCCACGAATGTAGTTTTGAAGTAAGGTATAGTGTTTGTGCTTTTATTTTGCACAGCAGATGCAAATACTAAGGTGGATCCATAGTTTGTTAAGGTGAGATTGGTTGGACTCTTACTTTCTAGTAAATGTTAACTTTGGAAGTCTAAATTTAATTTTTAAAAATAAGTCACATGGTGGGAGCTTACTGTATTGAGAACCTCTGCCTATTATTACTCTATCCCTTTGCTAGAGCTGCAGTTGCAATTGATATATCTTGGATTAAAGGTTGAAAGGGAAGAGAGGAGATCATGAGCTGGAAAAATCGGTGATAAGTCCAACCCCTGTGTTGCTGTATGGGCTTACTGGCATGCAAGAGAGATTCCCCTCCTCAGATCATTGATATTCTTTGTGCAGCAGTGACATTCTTGTGCAGGATTACTTTTAAGTAACTCTTTCAGGGTTACTTTTAAGCCTATTACTCTGCCAATCTGAAAACACTGGTTATTAAGTACCTGCTGTTTCACAGAATGCCCTTGAAGATGTGTCATGGAGGCTTGTGGATGGTGTTCTTCAATGTTCTTTCAGAAGGAGTATTCGTCTTCCTGCATATAAAGAGAGATTTAATCTGGATGCCAGTTACTACATCTTTCTGGCAGATGGGGAAGCTAGTGAAGGTAAACTTTGACTTACATATGGTTGCTTTTCTTTAAACAGCTCTAAATGAGTTAGTAACCCTTCTGTAAGATATTGCTTAGCTGAGAACTAGTGTCTGAACTAAGGTTCCCAAGTTTAAAGACCTTAATCCAGACACCTTTACTACCTTTCTGGATCATGGGTTTGCTTTTTGAAGTTGTAAACTTACTCATGTATGTGTTGTTGTGTGCTAACTTGATGCTAGGAACTGGTAGTTTCTTGAGAATTGTTTTTTTTAAAATAGAGACTAACTAGCATCTAAGGGGATTATTCTTCATGTCTTGTGCATGTGGAGGAGAAAGATATTTCCCGTAGAGTGGTGGGTTGGTTCTTGTACATTAAGTGTACAAGATATCTTAGATGACATCTTAGGTTCTTAGTGTATTGTGTGTCAAAGATTTAGTTTGTACAATTATGCTCAATGGTCACAACATTCATGAATAAGGAATGGGCACACTTACAAGTGCAGGGGCTTTCATTAGCAATAAATAAACCACTTTATGTCACTGCTTAGGTGGACTAATATACAAACACCGTCGTCAGCCCCTGATCACCGACAGACTGTACAATGTCACAGGTCCTCCTCAGGATATTGGAGGCTCCCGGTCCCCACGACTTATCAAGGCTCATGGTAAGCTGCAGCTTCTAGTTTTGTCTTCCAGCTCTAGACTTCTTGAGACTGTAGAGTTATTGCAGAGTAGGTATTTCCTCTTGTTTTTCTGGCATTCATGTTGGCTAGCAAGATCCACTACTGTGGTGGCAGAGTGAAGTTATAATTTTTCATTTCAAGAGCAGAATTGTTTCTTTTTGCCCGGGAAAATGAACCTGAATTTGCTTTTTCCCTAAAATTTATGATTAGGACTTGTTTCTCTTTACCTCTTACTCTCTGGTTCAAGTTGTTCTAACTGCATTATTTGCTTAGTTCTGTTTGAAATAAGAAACCACTCAACTGGCTGTCTGGAGTCACTGAAGTTAATGTGAATTTTTTCTCTCACAGTACTGGACTTTAACACAGGTCCATGAGAGTCACTCATTTCTTTCTCACACAGATAGTAGGCATGTCATCTTTCATCCTCTGACATCTGAGTTAGTGACAGATTGGTGTCTATCACCAGTATGCAGGGACTCTATTAGCATGTATGAAATGTGCAGTTTGTATAGAACAGAGCTGCTCTATTGTAATGTGTGGGCATAGTATGATTATCTTTTACATGGATGCTTCTGCCCTCTACCAAGATAAATGCTGTAAGGCTGTAGTCTGAACCAGGTGTAAGTTTTTACTCACTGGTTAATTCTGAGCATATGCATAGGGACTAAACTATTACATAGGGTTTTAAGTTGTATTGAAATGCTCTTAGTTACTGATTTACCTTGTATTTTTTCCCCTCAATTTTCAGGAGCGCTGATGTTTGTTGCTTGGATTACCACAGTTAGTATTGGTGTTATTGTTGCACGATTCTTCAAACCTGTCTGGGCTCATTCATTCCTGTTTGGAAAGGAGATGTGGTTTCAGGTGTGCAAAATACCCATATCTCCAGCTGTGTTTTCTAGCATTATTGTAAGCAGAACTATAAACCTACTAAATCTAAGAAGTAGGAGACTAAATATGGTGTGATTTACATCTTTCTTTGATCTTATAAAATGAAACAATTATGAATCAGTTCATCTACTTTACTAGTAAAAGCAAAGTCTAAAGGGGGCACCAAGAATATCTTTAACTGATGTCTGTTTAATGTCTTTCAATGATGTCTTAAGAAAGCTGTAGAGTTTCTAAAAGCAAACTTAACTTTTCTAGGTGCATCGTATTCTTATGTTGACCACAGTCTTGCTTACAAGCATTTCTTTTGTGTTGCCTTTCATGTACCGAGGAGGTTGGAGCCAAGTAAGTGTGTGCTTTTGTCTTGTTTGTTAACTCAAATACAAAGGTGGGACCAAATGAATGAGAAAGAGGTCCACTGATGACTAACACATTGTGACTATTTCCAAGCAAATTGCTGTGAAAGGTGTTCTTAAGTAGGCTGGTTTCAAATCCTAGCAACACAAAAGAGGAATGTTGTTTCCTTTACCTACTGTTGAAAAATGACAGTGCTTTCCTTCCTTTCTCTTTCTCCCAAATAAATTCCTTGCTCACGATTTCTTTATATACTATTTTGGTTTTCATATTTACTTGGAGAGCTTGAATTTGGGAGAAGAGTGTGGATGTGATGGCTGACATTAGTGTGGTAAACCTGCTGGGAATAAGTGTTTTTATGAATTTAGATATGATTAACTGTATTCAGTGATAAGCTTAGTCTGGAGCAGTAGATAGATAGATAGAGATTATATACCTGTTGCTCTCATCTGTATTATATTTGGTACAAGGTGACACCAGAAATTGGAAAGTCTAGAGATTATCTGAATTCAAGATGGGAGAATGTGGTCTCAGATATGAACTAGGAGCTAGGGAAATTAAATAAATGCTTTAGGATTAATATTAGAATAGACAGGGTGAGAAGGGAGACCATGCTGGGAGGAGTTAAAAAATAGGCCTCTCCTGAAGACACAGAATCAAGGCTGAAGAGCTTGGAGCATAGCTTCTACAGTCATATTACTCTGCTCTTCAGCTTGTAGAATTTCTCAGTACAGCAAAAAGGTGGGACAAGCCCTGGGCTGACGTACGAATGTGTGTGCTGCCAAGGTAAACAACCTCCATCTGGCTGCAGGGCAGCTTACTGTGTCCTGTTGCCTCTGCCAGTGTTGCTCCACTATTGTAACCTACTACTAAAAGAATAAAATTTTCAACCTTTTGGTATACTTTTCTCTATGCTTATATAGGTATGATATTTTAAAAAGTGTCCTCTCTGTTTAGCAAGCAGGTTTTCATCCCTATCTCGGCTGTGCTGTGATGGCTTTGACAATCTTTCAACCACTCATGGCAGGTTTCAGACCATCTCGTCATGCGCCAAGGTACAACTAACTCATCAAGCTACAGCCACAGGAATTAAACTTGCCTGTTTCTTTACAAATTCTTTTTACAATGAAAAGCTTTTACAACTTTAAAGTAGGTAAAAACATTTTTTTGATTTCCTCCTCCCTCCCCCAACTATGTAATCAATAAAATGTGTGTAATTGTTTTGTAGGAGGCAATTGTTTAACTGGTTTCACTGGAGTACTGGTACAACAGCTAGAATATTAGCTGGTGAGTAGAAATAATAGTTTTAACTTCCATTTAACTGATTTAAAGCAATTTTGTTCATTGTCTGGCATATTACTGGTCTAAAACATCTATGGAAATTCAGTCCAGGCATGTGTGAAGATTCTTTTTCTTGCTGACCATCTCCTGTGTGAGTTTTAAGTGGCCTTTGGGTACCACTTTTAGAGAGAAAAGGTGGCTGTTTAAAACTAAAGAAATTACTGACAAACCTGAAATATCTCTGTAATGAGGACCTGTTCTTATCTTCAGTAATTTCTTTTTATCTTGGAAGATTTGAAGATAATGTTCCTACAGTAACATAGTTCAATGTTATTTAATGGGAGAGGGAAGTCTCAGTTATTGAACCAGAAGCTGGATTTAATTCTAGTAATAGAGACAGGTTTCCACAGGCAGCTTAAGCACAAATAGTGTGGTGCTGTGGTGTTGTTGGAAGTCACAAATGCTAGCATTTGTGACTGTAATATGTTAGTTTTCAACCCACTTAGTGCACTGTCTTGGCCTTTTCCTTTTCTTCCTGTCTTGCCCCTCACACTACCAAGAAAACACAACCCCCCACCCCTCAAACAGAAAAAGAAAACAAACCATAAAACTTTCAGCTGCATGAACTCCTTTAACCTCATTCCTCTAGCAGTTGTAAGCAATTCATGGGAAATCTATTGCCAAAAGCATTGAGAGCGCTTTAGAAGTGGCCTGGCACAGCATTCTTAGCATCTTTTTGTCTTGTTTTTACTGACTAGTGGTGACTATGTTCTTGGGAATGGATCTACCGGCACTTGACCTGCCAGACGCATGGGACACCTATACAATGATTGGCTTCGTAGCTTGGCATGTTGGTATTGATGTTCTTCTGGAAATACACAGCTATTGTCTCATACGTAAAGGTACAAACCCAGAACAACTCTGGTTGTCACTTTGCTCTCTGAGCATAAAAAATGTAACAGTGTGGATTGAATTTCAGGAGGTGCTCTTTGGCCTCTAACTTGGAAGCTGAAAAGGAGGAACTCTTAGGTAATGGTGTTATATCTTCTGTACAAACTAATATGGAAGTAACCTCCATGGTTTGTGCCTTTTTAAATAGTAGCCTCTCGTTTCTCAAACCACAGTTCATAGGGGCAGACTGAAATGCATAAATATCTTCTAAGAATCTGTCATTGTTGGCAATTTTGATCCCAGGTGGGTATGTTAAGTCCAGGCGAAGTCACAGATTTAGTCTGCATTTTATTGCTGACAAATTGCTGCTATGAATGGCTGTTATTGCATGACAGAATGATCAGAAACTTGAACTTAGATGCTTGCACTTTGGAGTGAATGGGGAATGAAGGTGAAGTCCTGACTCTAGTGTGTCTAGTGAAGAGATAGGTAGTACTTTCGTTGGAATTGTTATCTTCACTGGCTGGTGTCACAGAGAGGAGATGACTGCACATGTAAATGACCTGTATCTAAGTCAAAGATGAGACATCTGCAGAATTGAAGAGGTGTAATTAATTAAGAGGCTGTGTAAGGTGGCAAATGGAATAGGAGTGATTATAAAACACGTGAATTTAGTTTTAACAGCAGTAATTACTTCCTAGAAATAGAGAAATTAATCCGAAATGTTTGGACATGAATTTTCTGATGTTGGCTAATGAAAAATACTTCTTAATGAATTCTAGTTATCTTAACATGTAAAAGGAAAGGGTATTAGTTTAAAACTCAGTGTTTTGATTATTCAGTCCAGCAAAAGAGACAAAATGTTTTTCCACTTCAGTGTCCAGAATTTACTTGTTGTAGGTCAGCCCAAGAATAATTTTTCACTTGTGCTGTGAGTATGATAGCACAGGCCATGAAATGTCAAATACGGCTTCCAGGTCCTTTTTCAGACTTGATGCTGTGCAAGACTGTCACAGGATCAAGACTTTTGTGGTATAAAAAAGAACCCCTCCTTCCTCTTAAAAGCAGACTTAACTTCTTTTTTCTTCCCACGAACAGTTGAAGTGATAGAGGATGACAGAGTACAGATACTGCAGTCACTCACATCTGCAGAAGCAGAGGTGAGTCACAATTTGGTAAATAACTATTGTGAAATGGGATGATTGTTTAAACCAATAAAAAGACTGACAGTTCTATGACTTTTTCCCCTTTTCTTTCAGGGTCATCTGTTTAAACAGGTTGTGTTAACCATCTATGTCTGTGGAAATATAGTATTCCTTGTTGCCTTCCTGATAGCAGTCAACAAAATATGAAACAAGTAATGGAGAATTTTGTGATGAAATACTGCGCAGTTGGAAAATATGAAAAAAAATGGTTTCTATTACAAGTTTTCTCTCAACACCTCTCTGAAAATGTAATTGAAGAAAAATAGCATGTGTGTCATGCTTGGTGTTAGAGAGATCTGGAATTCAAATCTATAGAAGGATGCTGCAGTCCTACAAAAGCTGTCTTCTGGCAGGACTTTTAATGGGAATTTTTGCCTGAGTAAGGAATGAAGTCTTTTTTTTTTTTAAGCACAGTAGTTAACTTGATTGAAGCTTATAGTTTAAGAAGACTGAGAAGATGTGCTGAAAGTGTTTTGATCGTCAATTCCCTAAACCTTTTGTAAATATTACTGGGGAATCTGGAGAGATTGATCTGGATTTTGTCATATCTGTTCACTGTGTGGTATGTGATGTGACTACTTCCTGCTTGTGATAGTTTTGTGCATTAAAAAAACCCCAAAACCAAAATACAGAACTTAGTGAAAAAATGTCACAAATGCAGATTGATGCATGAACTAAATACACAACAATTAAATGCAAGAAATGCTCTCTCTGCTCTAAGAGCAGTATACTTACACGACAAGCATAGGAGTGTGGGAACTTCAGTCCTTTAGTAAAACTACCATTTGCCTCACTCAGAATACTTTTCCATCTCATCCCTCTCAGTGCTTCTAAAACATAAAGAGAAAGCATTTGCAACATAAGTGTATTAAACCCTGTTGTATTTATCCAAAACTGAAACAGGAACAACCTCTCTTTGTGTATGGATTTCTGTATTTTATTGTCCCTGGTTGCTTGTGGCTTCTGAATTACTTTTCTGTGTGAGTACGATGGATTTGGGCCAACTGATACTTAAATGGGAGTGAAAATACTTGCTTAGGAATGTTGCAGTTGTATTTGTGCTATTGAGTGAAATGTGCATTAGGAATTAGGATGACTTCAGGAAAAGCAGCTTCTGTTAAAGTTAAGTGAGAGTCGCTTAGCTGCCATATCTAGAAGACAGAACTAAAAGAATTCTATAACAATTCTATTTTTTAAGAGTATGGGAGGGCATTTTTTTAGTCAAAAGGTTTATCTAAGTATATGAACTAGGTACAGAGACTATATTGTTTAACCTTTTTGGTTCATGGTTTGCCTAAGTATGGAAGGACACTCCTGAAATGGCATCTTGGAAACAATCCCTTAATATGCTGTGCAGTACAGTACTTTACATTTGTTTTATGACCCTGAACAGCTTGTTTCCACGTGTCTTCATTTTTGTTACTGGAAAGTATTGATTTTCAGTTGTAACACTTCAAAATATATTTTCAGTCCAGGGCTACTAAGCTAGCTGGGAATGAAGGTGTTGAAGTATTGGATAGAACAGTAACTAGTGAGGCCAGGCCTGATATAGACTTTTACAGCAACATCTCTCTACTACCTGATGGACAGCTCTAAAATACTTGTAGGTGCAGGTCAGATGGTGGTTCTCTCCATTTACTAAAGCTGTCTAGTTCTGTATCTTCCTCCATCTCCCCAAGTCCACAGTGCAGGGACACAATATTCAGAAAACTACAAGTTTGTTTGTAGTTGGTGATCTTCTTTTTGGTTGTTCAAGTGTATGATTTATCTATGAGGACATTTATAGAGCTGGGATTAATCCCTTCATCATCAGCAGCTGACTGTGAGTATAACTTGAATCATCCACCTTCCTCCTGGAAGCTGAAAAAGTCATGTCAGTCCGATTGGGAAAGGGGGACTAAGAAGAAATGAGTCACAACTGAGGCTGAAGGGCAAGAAGGATAGGGCCAGTTGTGTGGGTTTGTGGATTTTTTAGAAAACTCTGATCTCAAAAGCCTGGGAATCTCAGACCTGTCTAGCGCTACAGTTTTTTGGGACTCCTTCATATACCATGAGTTTATAGAAGACGAATCACTCAACACAGACACGACTGATGGCTTTTTAAATTAAGGTCAATGGCAGTTCTTTCTGAATTACAGGAGCTGTACTGTGTGTTGTTTCATTTATGTGTGACAATGAACACAGGGGTTTTAAAACTTGAATGTAAATATCTCAGTAGAAGGTTTTGTCCTTTTTAGTAATGTGAAAACACTGTCAAATAGAAACTAGAAAAGTCTTGCCTGGGAGCAAAATGGATTGTCTGGTTTTTGTCAATGTGGTTTTATAAATTAAAGCTATCTAAATCCTTCCTGGACAAACTAGTATTGAAATTGAATATTAAAATAATTTCAATTCATAATACAGTTTCTTTTCCTCAAGAACAAAAAAAATTCCTTGTTCGACATCTAATACAACTTCACAATTGGCAAATTTGTCAGTTGCTCTGGAGAACTTGTTTCTTCCCATTCATTGCTTGTAAGATTGTGCAGTTTCTTACATAAGCCCTTATGTGCAGTATTGTAACTTAATTGATTGAAAGACTGGCTAATTTTATGTAATGTCTGTTCTCATAACCACCCCTGCCCTTTTCCTGCATGACTGATAAGAGGAAGGGAAGTGTCATTGTATTTAGTGACTTCCAAAATTTCTGGTATACTCCTTTGAAAAAAAAAGTCCATGGAAGTGTTTGATATTGACAGGAAAATAGGTGACAGGCAATCTTGTTGTAGAGACACTAGTGGCTGCTGTATTTTTTTTTTCCTTGAATTATACAATATTGCATAGAAGAAAACTCCCATTGCTTTGCTTCCTGAAAGAGTCACACTGAAGTCAAGAAAACTTCTTCACCAGAAGAGATTGAGAAGGTTTCAGTGTTTTCTTTTCATCTCAAACTTGTGATGACAAAATAAAGTTAGCGTATTTCTGTTTGGCTGCTTCTAGACAGGCAAACACTCACTCCCAGCCAAGTAGAAATTTGTGAGCAGTCTCACAACAAGTAGTTTACTGTTTTGATTGAGTTGTTGGGTGCAGCCTCCAAATACTTGTCCTTTGCTCTTGGCTTAGCTACAAATCATATTCCATGCCTGTGCTTTGAAGGAAAATTAATTGATGCACATAACTCAAGTGCAATAGAATTCACTGCTGCTGTGCTTTACTTGGAGTCAGTTTTTGCTAGTTGACATTTTAGGCTGCAGAATGTGCCAGAAAAAGGTATGCTTCGTTTCTCCTCCTTACACTGAGCTCTAAATTGTGTCCTGTTTTGTCAAAAATCACAAGATGGGGAGTAATTATGTTCAGAGTAATTATGGCCACGTTTTTCATTTGCCTAGAGAAGGTTAGAGAGAGATCGCCTGCCTTGTGTTTTCCATCCCAGTTTGTAACACTGCGTGGCGCCCTTGTTCAGGTAACAGTGCTTTTCATTTGCTTGCTTTCTTTAAACTTGAGGCGTGTGAAGGCTGTCCAAAATAAGAAGTATTCCTAAATGAACTAATTGGAAAGAATCTCAAGCTTTATTAAGTCGTTAAATTTAAGTCAGCTCATATGGATGGACATTTTGGAATGGATGTTTGCTGGATACCTGTGCTTAAGCTTTTGATTGAGCAAGTATGGACTGTTTTCTTTTGTCATGCATGTAAATTGTGCTCTGTGTGGGAACATCTCTTTCCAAATAACTTAAGATGAATGGCAGTTATTTAGGAAAAACTGCAATATTCTGTATTTCAACACAGAAGTTAATATCTCAGTGATTTTAGACCTTTGGTACAGACTGAAGTAAGAGTCCAAGTGAGTAGAGGGATGGTTAACAGGGATATTCTGCTAGTAGGTCTGAATTCTGTGCTCACATCAATCTGATCCCAGCTTCTCTAAGGGGTATGTGTCAAGGGAAGAACTGCTCCATATACCTGAGGAAGTGGCACAGCACAATCAGCACAGGACAAGTTCTTGGGAACGTGCTTCTCTTATGTTACTTTTCATGTATTGGTAGTGAATTTCACTTGTAGATTACTATGAATTCCCTATTGTGAAGTCTCTTTTCAGTCTGCTTTCCTTTAAACTGCTTTGACTAGTACTATGATGGTCATTGCATTTTTGCTCTCTTTTGCAGAGCATTTAAGTTTAATAGCACAGATTGTTGGGGAAGGCATAGCAGTCTGCTGCTGTTACAAAAACTGCTCATGACGAAATCATATTGCTTTCCTACTCTCTCACTTTTTGGTGTATCCTGTTAAGAGTGCACAAAATCACTGGAATACTCGGAGTTGGAAGGGACCCACAGGGATCATCAAGTCCAACTCTTAGGTTGAGGGCAAAGCTCTCTGATCTCACAACCAGCAAATAACAAAAGAAGCATAAGAAAAAAAACCCACTGTAAAACAAGAACAAAAAACCCCAGGATACACATAGAGGAAGTGTACTACAATTAAATTTATTTGTTCTTATTTACTATTTCATTCTCCAGGTAACCATTTCTGACAAGTCTTAAAATTTGAGATTATTACATACTGCAGACTGGGAGCCACCAAGTGTTTAGAGGCTACAAGTCAGCCAATTACTACTATCATGCCTCAGTATGAGGTAGTAGCTTCAGTTTCCTGCTTTGAAAAGAAGACCAGTGAAAAAGTTAGTGGTTTTTTGCTGGTGCATAACTTGAGTCAGCTATGATAGAATAACACAACCTGAGTTTTATCTGCTTAGTGTTTCAAACCAGACTAAGGCCTAGCAAATTAAAGCTATTGTACTGATTTGAATATAAGGCTGTATGTAGTGTGCTATGAGGCACTTCCCCCCACCCCCCCCCAAAACTATGTACTGGAAAAATCTGCCCTGGATGTGATTTTTCTAGGTATGATTGTACCTTATGGCTGCTTCTAGGGCCCTTAGCTCCTCCCTTATGAAAATAATTAACTTGTTCCTTGGTGGCAGCCTTGGACCTTGCTGGAGAGCTGTGCCCAGCAGTGGCTGCAGCTATAACAGACCTTCTGTTGTGGCTGCAGGACAAGCCATTGGCAACTCTATATTTTTGATGGGAGGCTTGCTTAATTTTAGCTCCCCAGCCAACTGAAACCTGAATACCAAACACTATGGTTGGTTTTCTTTTTTGTGGTTTTTGTTTGTTTGTTTGTTTTGATGAACAGGCACTGCCTGTCTGGCAACCAGTTTCCTGGAAAAGCAGGACTCTCTGAGCAAGCTGGGAGGTGAAACTGTGCTCAGAAGGTCAGGCTGTTTGTAGTGCTATGCACAGGATTGATCTATGAGGTTGTGAGTGGGCAGCACGTATGTAACACAGGGAAGGGAGCAAGGTTTGAGGATGGCTACACTGTTGTATGTAACATAGGAGGGTGAATGGACTGTGGAGCTCTAGAAGGTGGCTAAATGTTTAAATATGCTGACTTAACTATTTTTGGTTTGTTCTGCTGTCACTTAAAAAGGAATGCTTTAAATTTCAGCCAAGGTAGCATGATTGGAAAGCAGTTTTTATATTTACATTTCTTCCAGATCTTCTCTTTCATGTTTAGCTTTTTATTAACCAGTGCTTTTAAAAAGAAAATGCTGGGATGGCATTTTTGGTGAAAATGGAATAGATTGGCACACTTTGATGTGAAGCAATGTCCCATGAAGTTCCATGGCAGTGGGTGTTTATCTGCTCTGTGTATGTAGCAACAGCATATTCCTGATTGTGGGAACAGGTATGCACACGTCTTCACGCTTGTATATACACTGCATTTATGGTCTTAGGTAACTTCCCACTACTTTTAACAAAATCCAGGATGTGATTTGTGTGTATGTGGCAGTTGGTCAAATCTGAAAGTCTGTTAAAGTCCATTGGATTACACAGAGGGCAAAATAGCCCATAAAACAGAGGGCAAAACAAGCATTATGATCCAGAAAAAGCGTGTGGAAGAAAGTCTTCTTAGCTTTATTCTGCTTTGAGTAATAAATTTTACTTCCATGCCACTACAGCTGTTAAATCACCTTTTTCCCCAGCTTTGCCATTCTCATCCTCAGAGCTGAAAAAGAAAAACCAAAGTCATTACATTTTAAGACTTTCTTTCTATTTCTGAAGGAAAATCTCCTTATTTAGAAAAATGAAGAATACACATACCTCCGGTGGTTAATCCAGTAGAATAAGCATTGTTTTAGTGTTATAGAAAGAAATCAGTAGAAGGTGTTAGTTCTGGTAATTTTGCGATAAAGCAAGTATATTAAGCAATTACTCCATTATCACTATTTGAAAATTAGTGCAGCTATCTTCTGTTTGTCTGTTACCTTCACTAACACATTGAACACAAATGGTATTGTCCTTGGCTGAATGCTGACAGATTAAAAGGATGCATGAATAATTAAACAAACTCTTTGTTTAAACTAAACTCCGCAGTGGGAGCTGTAACTGTTTGGAAGCTTTTTCCTTTTCTCTTGATGTTCATAGAAAACTGTCTTTTCTCCCGGTGTTGAGTCAGAGTGGAGGTTAGTCATATTCCTGATTTTATCTGATGTAGTAACAGTATCTGTATAAACATTAGCATGGCTATTGCCTGCAACTGGGTATAATGTGGGTTAGTTTGAAAGTGACAGTGCAGGGCAAATGATTTAAGGTTATTTTTAGAACAGCAATATAATGCCGTTGTTTGATATGTAAGAGCCTCCCCCCCAGCACACAGTTGAGCTGAGAATGCAGTGGGAATAATCTCCAGTCCTCTGACCTGTTAGTTTGAAGAGTCACCCAAAATAGCCTGTCTTGTTCCTTCATCCTGCATATGTCTCCGTACTGAGACAGGGGGTCAAAGCAGCTGTTTGCTTGATTTATTCATGTCAGCAAATGTCCAACTTGAGTTATGTTTTGAATGCTGAAGTTGTTGCAAATCGTAGAAGCATCTGAGTGTAACTTTATATCATAGGGCCACTGATGTTAACCTTGGCTCTTACAAAGGCCCTGTAAGACTGTGTACTGCTTGCAGGCTGAGGAATTCTAAGGGATTCAAGTTGTGGTCCTGGTCTGTTTTTGTCTTACTCTATATATTACAGAAACAGATGGCATGCATGAGTCTTCATTAAAAAGGATTTTTGTATGCTACTTTTTTCAATGCAAATGGAGCTGTCTCCATTGTGTTTTTTGAAGGTTGCAAAGGTTCCAGTGGTAAGGAAACAGAACAGCTCATCTAGACTGCTAAAAGCCTTGGGCCTTTGTGCCCATGAGAGCCTGTTCCACACTGTCAGTAGGTTTGCTGCTTATTCAGCTTTTGTTTCCCATTTCCTTATTCATTTTGCTCTGTCTAGCCTTTGTTCCCCCCAAGGACTCTTTATTTCCCTAATG